AAATTAAATATTTATATTTCATTACGTCCTTTGTTAAAAGAATTAACATAAGTCTTGTTCTGTAGGAGTCCTTGCTTGAACTTTTAGTATGTCAGGCTCACTTTATTTGCTCCTGAATAAAGAGTTCTTAAGCTAAACCCTACAAAAAAAGGCAGATAAGCAGTTCCTCGGAAAAATGGGGTTATATATGTCAATAACTTGGGCTTCCCTTCTGCTGTGAAACGTACCTCCCCATACTCCAAACGTTTCCTCAAAAAGCCCTTCTCATGAATATATCCTAGAAAGGAAAACAGAGAGCATCCAGAACAAGCTAACAAAAACAAAAGCCCATCCCATGTGCAATTTTCTTGGATGTGTTAACTTGCATAAGTGCAGTCAAATTGATAGCACAAGTTCTTAACTGTGTTCCACAAAGCTGCAATTCTAGTGTGATTCAATATGCTTTCATATATCGCTTCATACTCTGGTACTATAGATTATGACATTTAATATATTTTAGTTGAATGAATTAAAGAATGAATAAACGAATGAATGAATGAATGAATCTACTATATCTTTCTTGAAATACTGAATTAGTCTTAGACCCAACTTTTTGGTTATTTCAATGCTTTTCTAACTCAAATACAATTGGCTTATACAGAAATTGTAACACCATTAAGGTATTTGCTTTGATATGCCTCTTTATCAAATAATCTTTACAAAACTTTGTATTTGTCTATCTACTAAACAAATTTCATCATTAACATTTTTAACTGTGCTAAATATCAACATCTAGGCATCATCTACTGAATTCTAATTCAACTGAACTTCACTTTAAGTCAAAAGTTTACATTTTCTATATTCCAAACTAACTTCAGTGACTAGTCTACAATTTAATTTTTGCTTTTAATTTTTCATTCAAATAGCTAAGCACCCTCTCAAATACCCCACAAAATTGAAATCTGTAAAATTTTTTTCTTTGATACCTTGGGTACTAAGTTAAAAACAATCCTTTTTCTTTATGCAAATGGTTAACATAGTGTTTCATCCATAAAAATGAAATATTTTGTCAAAGAAAGGAATTCCCACTTTAAACATTTTATATGCTGCAGTTTATCAAGAAACAAAAAATTCTCCTTTATTCCCATTTGTAAACATACCTTCTGGCTACACACTTTACAAATTAACTTTGAGTTAGTTTACCTTCTTAATTTGCTCACATTTATGTTGTATTACTTCAAGACTGAAATCAGCTTATAATGTGTATTTGCAACTTAACTTCTCATCTGATGAAAAGTATTCTGTTTTTGGAAAAGGCAAGATGAGGTAATTTCATAATGTTCCCTAATAAACCAACAGTGTATTAATTTTATCCATGTTAACTTTGATGCGATGAGTTAGTGTTATTCCCTAGTGGGGCTCTAAGATTCATGTTACAATTGGAATATTTATTTAGCAAAATATTATTTTACCATTAGATGGAATGAAAATATAAGAAAGTAATCTTTGACTTTTAAAAAATCTTACTTGTAAAAGTCTTAGTAATAAAATAGCTAACTGAAAATTTCAAAAATATTCCCATCATTACAACTTGGTCTACAAATTTTTCAGTCTTGGTTCAAAATTCCTTACATGTTTAATTGGTCTCAAATACCATAAATTAGTATTTCCTCAAATTTCTAATGTATATTGTCTATGTCAGCCTATTTTCTTTATAAACATAGGCAATAGATTAAATATTTAAACTTTCACGAAACTTGAGATGATGCAAGGGTATAAATTTTACTTTGATACACCAAAACTCAGACATAAATAAAGCTGACTTCTTTAGGGATTATTTTTAATACTTTAAGACCCCTGCTTCTACCTGGAGGCTTGCAGTCTACCTCCCCTTTTTCCTATTACTGGTCAGTTGTCCAAAGTGCCCCACCTTCATTCATACTTCCATTCACTGTATCCCAAAAATTAGCAAAAGAAGGCAGGAAGCTCTGCTACTTTTAAGAGTCTAATAACTCATCAAGCATTTCACAATTTACAGCTTATGAGACTGCCATACACACATATTCTTGCTTTTATTAGCCTAGTCTCTCCAGATTTTACAAACAAAAGACATCTGCAATGACCAACATGACTATGCAATTAGTGAAATAAAATGTTGCATTATAATATTAAGATTAAAATATATCAAATAAAAATTATAGTTTTTTCATGTCTTTTTAATTTGATATATATTAATATAGTATTAACATTCCCAAATAGGAATCTCTACTCACATCTTCCTTTATGTTACTCAGTAAATTTGGTAGCTTTCTTCATATAGGCCCCCCTCATTTCTTATTAGTTATTTTTAAATCTCACTTTATGTTTTTGATTCAGAATAGGAAATGTCTTTCATTTAAACTTTCTGATTATTTTTAGTACAGTATAAAGTGATTCTATATTAATTCCATATCTAGGAGCCTTCTTGATTCCTTTATTGATTCCTGTTGATTCTTCAAACTGTAATTTGATAATTCATAATTCACTCCTGATAATTCATCAAATGGTGACAGAAAATTGTGTGGGGCAAGGGCTAGTCCAAGGGATTCATATTAAATACTCACCTATCTGGTGTTTTGGCATACACCAAAATAAATTACAGAAAGATTAAGTTAAAATTAAAGGTTAAAGTTAAAAGTAAAAAGTTAAAGGTTAAAAATAATGTTAGAATAAAAACATAAGAAAATATACAGTTAAATATTTAACTGATTTGGGAATCAGTAAAGAGCTTCTAAGGATAAAAGGAAATAGAAAAAAAATCAAGAAAAATGCAAAGACTTTGCTATATTAAATTCAGTATTTCCAAATGACCAAAGAAAATTAGTAGATAAACACTTCTACCTCCCCTTTTTCCTATTACTGGTCAGTTGTCCAAAGTGCCCCACCTTCATTCATACTTCCATTCACTGTATCCCAAAAATTAGCAAAAGGAGGCAGGAAGCTCTGCTACTTTTAAGAGTCTAATAACTCATCAAGCATTTCACAATTTACAGCTTATGAGACTGCCATACACACATATTCTTGCTTTTATTAGCCTAGTCTCTCCAGATTTTACAAACAAAAGACATCTGCAATGACCAACATGACTATGCAATTAGTGAAATAAAATGTTGCATTATAATATTAAGATTAAAATATATCAAATAAAAATTATAGTTTTTTCATGTCTTTTTAATTTGATATATATTAATATAGTATTAACATTCCCAAATAGGAACATAAAATGAATCTCTACTCACATCTTCCTTTATGTTACTCAGTAAATTTGGTAGCTTTCTTCATATAGGCCCCCCTCATTTCTTATTAGTTATTTTTAAATCTCACTTTATGTTTTTGATTCAGAATAGGAAATGTCTTTCATTTAAACTTTCTGATTATTTTTAGTACAGTATAAAGTGATTCTATATTAATTCCATATCTAGGAGCCTTCTTGATTCCTTTATTGATTCCTGTTGATTCTTCAAACTGTAATTTGATAATTCATAATTCACTCCTGATAATTCATCAAATGGTGACAGAAAATTGTGTGGGGCAAGGGCTAGTCCAAGGGATTCATATTAAATACTCACCTATCTGGTGTTTTGGCATACACCAAAATAAATTACAGAAAGATTAAGTTAAAATTAAAGGTTAAAGTTAAAAGTAAAAAGTTAAAGGTTAAAAATAATGTTAGAATAAAAACATAAGAAAATATACAGTTGAATATTTAACTGATTTGGGAATCAGTAAAGAGCTTCTAAGGATAAAAGGAAATAGAAAAAAAATCAAGAAAAATGCAAAGACTTTGCTATATTAAATTCAGTATTTCCAAATGACCAAAGAAAATTAGTAGATAAACACCAAAATGGGAAATACAGTTGGAATGGGTGACAGTTAAGTGGGTAAAATCCTAACCATATAAAAAGTTCTCCCAAATCAATAAAAGAAAAACTAATTAATACCCAATATTATGGGTAGTAATGCACAGAAGAAATAAAAAGAATAAACAGTTGATTCACAGAAGATATCAAACACCAACATACAAAACACTCAGCTTCATGGTCAAATTCAAGTTAAGAAGACAAGAGACAGCATTTTTTTGTGGTGCATTCAATGCAAAGACCTAGCTCATGGAGACTGAAAGCTGGAGCACATCTCAGAGGAGGACAAGAGCATTATAAACCTTCTGGAAAGCAGGTTGGTAATCTGAATTAAAAGCTTTAAAGAATCAAAGCACAAATATGTATTTGTGGAATACTCAAGAAATATAAGCAAAAAATCATATATAAAGATAAACATTATAATATTATTTATATTGGCAACTGGAAGCAACTACAATGTCCCTGAAGAAAGGAACTTCAGTTTATGGTACATCCTTCTGATAGAATGTAAGTGCAGCCCCTTAAAACATATTTCTGAAGAATGGCTAAGGGCTTGGGAAAAAGCTCATGATATGATGTCAATTGAAAAAAATTAGAATACAAGATTATACATAGTATGATACTAATTGTATAAACATATAAAATATACGTGCATAGGAAAAAGGTAAGAAAATACAACAAAATGTTACTAATGGTTATATATGGGGATATTTGAGGGAAAGGATTATGAATAGTTTGTATTTCATTCTTTACACTTTGAGGAACTTTTCAGATGTTTGTTAGTAAACATATTATTACTTTTAAAAGGAAACACAAAAAATAGATATTATTTTTACATCTATACCTAATAGATATTCTTTAAATATGCCATCAAGTGATGCAAGAAGATTTTCAGAAACAAAGCAAAAACAATTTTAGATAAATAGACTTTTCTTTTACATGAACAACAGAATATATTGACTTTTTAAAACTTGAAATTTTCTTCATTTAATCAGTACCACTAAAAAAAAAAACTTTAAAAATAAATCTAACTATTAAATGTTTACTCGGAAGTACAACCTAAAAAGAAAATCCTTATCTAATCAACTACAGGGAAAAGTGTAATTAGAATATAGTGCTTACCTTTTTCACTTACACTCTCACTTTCAATCTCAACATCATCACAACTTGTATATTCAGGTGTGGAAGCTAATTCCTCCTCTGAACTGCTCAATGAAACCTGGCGCATTTTACCTCCTTTCTTTGATTTATGAGGCTTTGGTGGTGGAGGTCTCACTGACTCTGACTGGTCAGAACTGAGAGAATCATTCCTTAACATTGTCTCCATTTTTTCCCTTTTTGTTTTCCTTACAGCTGAGCTAGGATCTAAGTGGTGTTGTTTCCTTAGTGAGTCAGTTCGCCTCATGTCTGGTCTATCAATGGGTATTGGACTCCTCCGCGGGGTAGGAGGACTATGGTTTGTGGTCCTTTGTGGATAAGAACTTGGTCCCTGAGCCTCTCGAGTTCTTTCCATTGAATAAGATCTCTGATTTTCCATGGCAGCTCTACGTTCAGATATAGATCTCTGCCTTGATGGTCGTTCCATCCTTAGCGTAGAATTCCTGGAATCTTCCATTTCAGCATTTGCCAAAGAAACATCACTATGCCTTCTCTCATGCCTTGCTCGGGACACTTCAGCATGAATCCGCATTTGTTCTTCATAGGGCTGTGGCTTTACTGGATAGCGGGCCAAATTTGGATCACTCCGGTAGCGTGCCTGGTATTCCTCCTCTCTCCTTTGTCTTTCATATTCATCTCTGCTATCCACATCCTCATCATCTACAATATATTCTTTGGAATGCCTATGACTTCTCCTGTTGGAGTCCCTATAATTCATATGGTCAGACTCTTCATAAAACTGAGGCTCATGTTGAGACCTCCTATCAGCATAATCTGATGGAGATCTAGGCATTGTACTATCTGAAGCAGCATACTGTGAATATTCCTCTCTTTCTTCCCTTTGGTCGTATCTTCTATTCTGATCTCTGGACACTGATGGACTTCTTTTCCTATATAATCAAAAACAAAAACAAAAAAAGAATGATGAGAACAACAACATTTAAACAATTTTACATTTTATTGATTCACTAGCAGGTTGACAGGTAAATTTAAATAGTTGTGCTACTTTTTTAAAATGTAATTTTTAAGTTGTGCCGTAACAAAAGTTTTACTAATACATTTTATTCCATTCAAATAGGAAATTTAAAAGGTATTTTGATATGGTTATTAAATGCCTGACATACTACATATAAAATATAGTTATGCCCTGAAATTAGATTATGGACATCAAATTCTGCTGCTGCAAAAATAGATTTTATTCTAATTTCCTTGCTTGGCTCAATACATGTCAGTTTTTACCAACTATTATAGAGAAGCTTAGAAAAATTCCACCTTCTGTACTCTTTATTCCTAACTTGTTGATGTGAAAATTACTACAAAACATAATGAAGCCAAACCAACTTGCTCAAGAGTTGAGTACTTTCTAATACTACGTGTTGGTTCTCAAAAATCACTTTTCATTCATCGGCTATCGAGATCACTCCTAGTACTGGTTCAACTAATCTTCACCTTAACATTGTATCTCCAACCCTCCTTTATTGCTCTAACTTGAGATAACCAATTTAAATAAATACCAACAATAATTCATTGCAAAAAGAAATGACTGCTACTTTTATTCCATCTTCGTTAAGATTAGGCCAACTTGATGACATGTCTCTTCTGTCTTCATACCTGACCCCTCATATTTACATACAGCCTCAGAAGAATAGATTGTATTAAGTTTTCAACCTGCCCCTCTAACACTGGTATAATGTGGTGGACCTTGCAATCACACATAGTACCCTGCCAACAAAATATTCACTGTCCTCTTCTCGGTCACAAACTCAGATAATGTCAACTACTATACATGAGAAGCAATGAGACTGTAATCCTCAAGATGACAGAAAAGGTTTAGAATAAATGTTAGGGGACTTTGCCAGGATATATGAACAGATAATAAAAAAAGTAGGGTCAGCTGAAGTTAAAGATGATGAGGATTAGACAGTTCAGTTGTGAATTTGTTAGACAACAGTTTTTTGGCCCAAAAGCAGGAGCAGAGAAAGGATACATGTGGGATGACCCAACCCAACAACCCTGTCATTCGCTTCTATCTCCCGTGTCACTGAATCCGTTTACCCCGTGTCTGGAATACAATCTGCCAATGTACCAATTAGAGTTAATTAACGAAAACAGAAGTCACTCTAGGTTTTCCAGGAGTAAGGGTTTTAATAAAGGAATCAGAAGCTACAAAACTGTTGAAACCAGCTAAGGAATGAAGGCCAGAGGCATTAATGCTGCCTTTCTTAGCCTGAATAACCAAAGACCAGGGTTCTCAAATTTGTCATTAGGAAGCTGCTATGAATCTCAAGTCTTTGAGAATTTGTCCCCAATTATCCACTGCCTAGAGTATTAGGGTGGTCAGTTATCAGCACCTTGCCAAGGAGCCACTAAGACTCACATTGCCCATCTGTCTGCCAATAAGTGTTGCTTGACAATGATGGCTTCTGTAACTTTCTACCTTTCAAATCTCACACAAACATTGCTAGGCTAACCTAGAACCAGAAAGGAAAAAGTATTGCAGTAAATGAAGGAATTGGTCTATTCCCCTGTTTTACGACTAAGCAATTGGATAAAAATTTTTTTACCTTTACATTCCTACATTTACATATAAACCATCTAGGATTTAATTATGAATCTTTTAGTTTACAATTGTTACATAAAACCAGACTCCTACATTTTAAAACATACAATCAAAACCAGAGCACTCAAAATAAATTTCACAGTATTGGCCTAGATAACATCCTATATATGTGTGTCTGTTATGCATAATTCATTTCATTATTTTTATGCATACGACTTAAAAAGTTACTCTAGCATGGTAGCAAATTATCATGAAATGAGCAACTAGGATTAAGGGATCTGGGTATCTCAGTCCTATTAACTTTTGCTATTAAACGATTATTTGAAACTATATAGCCATTTAATCTTTCAGTGGGTGTACTTTAAAGTGATAGACATAGATTACATGCATTAACTCATATATTATTTTAACAAATATATTCCAGGTAAGAACTAAATGCCACTGTAATACAGACTAGGAATATAGAAATGATTAAGAGATGAATCTTGATTTTAAGATGCTGAATGAATCTTCCATTTCTTAGGGACTATAATCTTATAACCTTGATACCATAATTTCATCAAGTTGATATGACTAAATGAAAGCCTCAAGCATAGCAAAAAAACATTAAGGATACTCCTCTCAAGATGTAATTAACTGGTGCCAATTTGCAACATACTTACGTCTCATTACTTGGCTACTAATATCTAACTTACTGTACTAAAAGAAAAAAAGTACTGAGAGAAATAAGAATTTCTCTAGGGAACTCCAAAGAATAAGCAATTATATCAGTTATTTCTCAAATTGAACATCTAACCATTAAAATGATAAGAATTGTTTTCAATTTAAGTTAATAAATATATTTGTCTCAAAAAACAACAGTATGTATAAATTCATAAGATCAAGAAATTGATACTGTTCCAAGAGTAAGATTCTAGTGTTTCTCAGATTAATGTGATAGATAAAAAAACAAATTTTAATATTTCATTTAGATATTAATTAAACAAATTCTAACTTCCCTAAAATTCTGTGTGACTGAGTAGGAAATTTTACAGCTATATATACGTATTGAATTTTAGAAATATAAAAAAGGAAGTAAAATGTGATTTTTTTAATGAAAACAGTATTACTCCTCCCTCTCAAAAGAAAAGGAACTATTTTTACAAGCAGTGTGGTTTAGCTCTATTATATGTTAATTTGGGTTTTGTTGGGCTTCAGAAATCCAACTATCATTTACAAAATGACCTCCTAAGCAAATGAATTTTGAGTGATAATCACTATACAACTAAACATTTAGAACAGAACTTCTTTGTACATTAGGGTTTTCTAGTAATATATTTAATATCACACTTGATATTGTAGGACAGAGGTGGGGGGAAAAGGAACACTTCATTCCTAAGGAATTGTCATAAATTTATGCAAATAAGTAGGGTATAAAGTGAAGATAGTGAGCCTTTAAACACAGGTAATATATTCTATTTTATTCATAAATAAGAATATTTATTTATTATAGAATTCAGTTCCAAAAGAAAATCTATTATTAATTAGTCCTTAGCCAGCCATCTAAGTGCTTACAAATCATAACTTGGAAAAATTAAATTCAATATTAAATCCAGCAATCACTTGATTCTAGAGATTATGAAATTTGCCTGAAGCATGTGATTCATACTGTAGATGCTGATTTCTACTGGATTTAAGTAAAAACAGAACAGTGGTTATGATTGCTGAAATTGGAATGACTATTGTCACTATTACTTAACATGGACTAAGTTTTTTAAAAAAAACTTTTAGGTAAAGTACCTTACAGCATATTAAAGCTATGCTAGAAGCAAGGCAAGATTTTATTCCAAGAATACTCTCAACAAACAATGACGAATCTGCTATAATACTCCAAAGTATTAAAATACTCTGTCAAAATTTTAGCAACTATGCCATGAATTATTGCATATATATATATTTCTTCAAATTAAAACTACTGTATTTCTTTGATACTACATTTTTTTCAGGAACTGAAGAAAATCCAAGAAAATTTAAGTATTACATCTCTAATCTCTATCTTTGCCACTGGCCTTTATAATTAGCAATCCTTAGCATTTATTACTATCAGATGGAAAACATTTAATAGGTAAAAGGATATAATAATAATTTGTATACTTCTCTAAACAATCATAAAGCACTTAATATGTGATGTAGAAGTTCTAAGTCAGAAGAATGGAACAATTCATCTGAAATGTTTTATTTAGCTCAATCCTTTCTTCAAAGACCATGAGAAATTGAGACAGAATCCAAAATTATGCTTTTTTTTAGATGAAAATGTATTTGTGACATCATATTGGGCCTTACTTTTCATTCCTATATATCAACCAATCCCTATTTAAGCTATAACACTACCAGTACATATTTAGTACACATTGTATTTACCTAATAATCATTTCATCTTAATTGTCTCTATTGGAACCTAGTTGTTAGAATCATTTGCTCTTTCACCATATTATATTGGTCTTAACTAGAACCAGTTTATAGAAAATCACATACAGATATATATCATAAATCTACTTCAGTCAGTAGCATTTCTGTTCATTGCTTATACATTTTTGTCATATTGACTAACTATTCAATCTATTTCTAAATATTCCTGCTATGTATTCCTTGATACTCCATTATAAATGTCATTCTGATTAGGCATAATAGTTTTAGCAAGAAACTCTACAAATTAGTCTTTTTAAAATTCCATGTCTAAAAATCAGACCGACTGATAGGAAATCTTCAAATAAAAAGATTCTTTCCCAATTTAAGTCACTTTCAACAATTTCCCAAAGGCAGTCTCAATTTACATACTGTATATTATTAATTCATTATGTTTTTACCACAGTATCTATTTTAATATTTATGATATTTACCATTGTATGTGGTTTGTGTTATACTACATAAAATACTGACAATATATACTATAAAATAATCATCAAGTCTCTGAAAATATATTCCACTAAATATTTGAAAACATTCATAAGGACAGTGGAGTTTACACAGAAACTTAAGTTTTAATATTTATATACTTTAACTTTTAATTCTTTGGACCTATATAATTCTTAAGAATCATAACAACATTGAAAGTAAAGAATTGAAGGATTACAAATTTCTGTATATTAATATTGTCATTGAAATTAAGCTCTTCTATGAAAACATTACTCATAATCCTTACTAGTAGAGATCATTAAATAACTCATTTTTATTAAAAAATAGAAACATTTAAAGAATCACTAATCTGAAAAAAATATTTTTTACTCCACCTTGTAAAAAACTTTATAAAGCATAGATATTATTAAATAAACTTAAGTGATACTTATTAAT